TACAAAATGCGCGTGCGGGCGGACCTTCACGGATCACAGAGAACAACAGTGGGAGCGGGATGCATGCCTTCCGGTCGAGTCTGTTGTCTATGAGTAGTAGAGCACTTGAGCACTGGATAGGGTCGATTCCGCATGGTACGGGACCCCTCGATCGCCTCGCCCTCCCTCGCTGGTGTGCTCATTGGGGGGGGTCATAACTTTCTTTCTTTACTAGGCGGGAGTGGCGCGCACTGGAGAAGTCAGAAGAAACACCAGCGAGGGAGGGCGAGACGATCGAGGGGCTGTACCACGGTCCACGCGGAATCGACCCTATCCAGTGCTCACAAACACGGTACAGGATCGAGGTGCACGCTGCGGAAGCAGTGTCGTCCCCCCCTCTCCATCGTCTCCCAGAGAGACGTCAGCACAGTGGTGGCGGTGTGACCAATCGAGCTACAAGAGGAACTTGATCAGTAGGATCCGGGACAGGTCTGATGCACTACCTCACCGTCACCGTCTCGGGCTTGTGTGGGATCGAACCGCTCCGGGATGAGCAGGCCCATCGTTTTGATTTTTTCATCTGTAGTGTGCGCCGAGTTGATTGGAGCGGCCGGGGCAAGGCGGGGGGGGGGGGGGGCACACAGCCGGTTGAAAAGGTACACGGGGCGACTTGGAGACGTACTGCACACGCAAATCATGTTCCCCACACTTAGCACCGGCACTATTCTCGACCTCGATCATCTCTCTCCTCACACTGAGCAAAACAAACAAACACAGACGGAGCACATCTCTCTCTATATGTTGTGCTCGAGGCTTGAACCGCGCCAGTCGCTCTTACCCACCCCAGCTGGCGACGGCCTGTCATCTGCGCGCCTCTCGAGCCTCGTCCTGAGGGAGGGTGTAGAGGATGTAGAGTGTAGAGCGCTGTAGAGCTGTAGAGATGTAGAGCGCTCTGGAGCGCTGTAGAGCTGTAGAGCTCTACATCCGCCGCGGGACGAGGCGCCTGCGTTGTAGAGCGATGTAGAGCGCGATTTTGCTGTAGAGTTTGTTGTAGAGGCTCTACAGCCAAACCGCCGGGAAGGCAGTGACTCAAAGAGGTCGAGCCGCGCTAATGGGGTGTCTCCGAGCTTAGTGAAGCTCTGATGGACAGCCCTGACTATCCCTGACACACAGAGAGTCCCTCTGACGGCACACAACACCCTATAACTGCGTCATGACCAGCCTGCCATGTGTCGCCGGTGCCGCATTCGTCGCTGTGCTTCTTTAGCAGGCGGTGGACTGTCGGCTGCGAGGACGGTCGCATTTGCGCGAGGCGAGGCGAGCATTCAGACGCGTTGCATGCGCCATGACTCGCGCCAGCGCGTGCGGGAGCTCCTGGCTGAGCGTTGAGTCCAAGCGAGTTGCGCTGGCCACGATCGCTACGCCGAGCCGAGCTGACGCGCCGAGGCGCCGGCCAGTCGCAGCCGTGAGGCATGCCATAGCAGCAGAGGCACCTGCCACCCATTGGGCGGGCAGACAGAATGCCAGGGCAGCACTGGCAAGTGCAACGCGCCTCATGTCGGA